GGTGGCTCATAGGCTGAGACTGGGAGAGAGGGAGCATGAGCTGATCATCAGCAAAGTACTCATAGCGAGTACCTAGCAAGTTGCGATTATTCTTGGGTCCCCCTTCCTCCCTCCCTCCCCTCTCTCTTCTTGCAGACGGAGAGCCGGCAGTCTCCGACTCAAGCAGAGATCTCCGAGCAGACCAGGGCGGCACGGGAATGTATCCCTGGTTGCCGTGGGGAGCTCCTTCCCGATCTGTCCAGAACCAGAAGGATAGACACCCAGACCGAAAAACACACGCAGTTGACCACGGAGCTGGCAAAGACGAAAACCCGATCCCGTCCAGCGGCAGCGTGGTGGAAACCGGATCCGCTGTGTGCTGGCTGCGACGTTGTTGTTGTTGTATTTATTTACGTCGGGCGGGTAGCAGGCGAAGCCTGCCGCCCTAGGACCTCCCATGGGGTGCTGGCTGCGACGTGCGCTGCCGAATGGGCGAATTGGTCTTCGGGCTGCGGACTCTCTCTTCGGAACACGGACTTCCTGCCTCTCCTTTATGACCATGTAGCCAGCCAGCCAGCCAGCCAGCCAGCCAGCTGTTAAGTCCCCCCTCGATGCAGGTGACTAACTTCTCTTTCTGGCTGGTCTTGTGGCGCTCTAGCAACAAGTAAAGCAGTTGCTTCACCCGCTTGCGGCCGGCGATGTAGGATATCAACATGTGGAGCTCCGGTCTGGGGACGGTCAGTCAGTAAGCAACCTCTTTCCGTATCTGGCCAACACCCAAAGGACGTAGCCGAGAAGCTTCTGAGCTGCACTGCAGTAATAAAATAGTAGGAGTACCAGAGCATCGGGATTGGAACCAGACTGCCTCCCCCCCCCCAAACCCTTCTTTCTTTTCTTCTCCTTTTCTTCCTCTTCTTCTTCTCTTCTTCTTCTCTTCTTCTTCTCTTCACCTCAACTCGCATCGTATCCAGCCGCTTTGACCCAAGCAAAAAAAAAAAAAAAAAAAAAAAAAAACAAAAAAAAAACCAAACGAAACCGACACCGACGACAAAGAAAAGG